TGGTTCGCCAGGATGCTGAAGAGCTTCAGGCAGCAACTTCTGGTCTTGGAGATGTTGGTCAATCTGGACAGTATAAGTTACTTGTGAACAGGGACACACTCCGACACACTCCATGTGAGGAATGAAGAGAATTTTAATGCAAATTCATCAAAAAAATATTACAATATTTTGTTCATATCAACCAGCAGAGGAGACTAGATGTCACCAAGCATGGATGTGTGAATAATCCCTATGTCAAGAAAAGGGATAGGAGATCCAATTCTAAGCAAAAAGTAGAGAGGGATATGATTTTTCATGGCTGCATGATGAAAATTTTCATTTTGAAAAGAATTCTACAGAGAAAAAGCTATGAATTCATTATCATTCGCACTTCCATCTAAGAGTACCGAATCGATAAAAATCAATCATGTATCCAGCCCTAAATTTGTTGAGAATTCTTAGCTTGTTATCATCTACTTGGGTACGGGTATCGAGTACGAATACGTATAAGAGTTGAATCCTTTCTTTTATAAAACATAGGATACAAGGATATGGCTGGAAAGAGCCCAAATTTGAGACACAGGTATGCGGATGTCTTTCAAACCTTAATTTTTTTTTTCTTCTAACAAAAAACATGTTCTTCTCACATAACATAGAATCAAAATTACAAATAATTTCATCCTACACAAATTGTACTCCCTAAAATAAACCGTTGGAGTATGACCCAAATTCCTATTTGGTAAAAGGAATAAAAGTTTTCTTGGTTTGGAAGTCCGGTAAAAAAATGAATTAAAGTTCATCAAGGATTGAAAGTTTGATTGGTAATAAGGCTTTGGATAATTGAAGACTTGATTTTGGGGTGTTGGACAGCAAACTAGTGCCCAATCACTAGGTTCGAGGTGCCTAGGTGTCCATAACAAAAGAAAGTGAAAGATTTGGTCTGAGACACAGCGCTCGAGCATCGCATCTGGCGATCTCCTGCCACTGAAGTGGTAGTGTCGTCAACAAGAATCCATTTTCGATTCTGCTTCTATATCTTGAGTTGTATTTCATCCAAAACACTTGTAATGAGTTCTTATATATATAGCACGTGGTTTAGCTATGAGATAACATAACAAAATATTTTATAGCATTAAAACAATATAAAAGTGAGAGGATCTAGTTTACAAAGAGAGGGCCTCGCATATTTTGAGATAGGTTAAGAATGTCGCGAGATCCTTTCGTACTTCTTTGCTATTGATTATAGTGAATTCTCCGTCTCTACCCGTGGGTTTTCCAAATTTAGGTTTCCACATAAATCGTGTTCTTGTGTGATTTTTTCCATCTTGTCATAATTTTTGGCTTTAATATTCATATCCAAATTGGGTTGTTTTAAAACAAGTCGTATCAAAGCTCAAGGTTCTGGCAGTTCTTGGAAGAGCTAGTTTGGTCTTGTACTAAAGCAATGTTTGATTGTTTCGAAATGACAAGTATAAAGTTTGAAATTCCACTTTTGGATCTCAACACTAGATTTTCTTTGCGACAGATCAAGATACAAGTAGTGCTCACCCAATTGGATTTGGATGATACTTTGTTGGGGCTTAATAGAATGCACGTAACTTTGACATTGCGGGAGAAGCAGCGTAAGGATCAGAACGCCCTATCACAGATACACTTTTATTTTTCAAATCAAATTCTTCACAACATTGTAAAGGAGAAAACCGCCTATGCATTATGGTTAAAATTAGAACAGTTAAGCATGACTTGGAGTCTAACCAGCAAATTACATCTAAAGCAGCACTTATATTCTCATCGCATGACAGAAGATGGATCTTTGGAAGAATATTAGTCTCTATTCAAGGAAATCATCATTGATTTGAAGACCATGGAAGTCGAGTACGAGAAGGGGCACAAGAAGAAAGACTACCCGAAGTGGTAGAACGTGAATAAATTAGTTGCTACAGATCAAAGGGACAACTTGGTGATTCTAGTAAAACTAGTCTTGTAGAAAAAGACTACAGTAATGGAGATTTTTTGGTTGTTTCTGACGGTGACTCCAAATTTGGTGAGGGGCTTGCACTTTTCATATGAGTCCAAATATGGATTGGTTTGCAACATATGAAACTGTTACAAGGGGTTCCATGGTAATGGGGAATAAATCGCCTTATAAGATAGCTGGTATTGGTAAGGTCAAAATCAAGATGTTTGATAGGTCGGTCAGGACACTTGGTGATGTGAGACGTGTTCCAGACTCGAAGTGAAATGTTATCTCCTTAAGTACTCTTGATTTAAAGGGGTATAAGTATATCAGTGGAGGTGGAGTTCTGAATGTTAGCAAGTGTACCAGAGTTATGATAAAGGGGTAAGGAAAGTCCCCAATTATATGTGTTGTAGGGTTCTATGATCAAGGTTGATGAAGCGACACCAAATGAGATGTTAGACCTCAGGAGAGGTTCGGTGAAGCCGATATGGCTGCTTATGGTTTGATAAGTGTTAGCTCAGATGGAGCTGGTAGTGATGGGTTTGCTCATGGGGATAATTCGAGTAGGTTTGGTAACTCATGTGAAGTTGGTAGTGAACGACATGATTCAAGTAGGTTTGGAGCCCAAAGTAGTTTTGCTAGTAAGCAGGGGTTGGATTTTGTTCACAAGTGTTAAGTATGCCCTAAGGGGCATGGTAGAAGATGTGAAGTTTGTGTTTGGAGCACTCTGTTAGGAGAATTGCTTGAAGAATAATTCATTGCATTGGAATTTACATCAAGGTGGAAGTTGTTGGAGTATGACCCAAATTTCTATTGGGATTAGGATTGAGTTGATTAATTGATAAAAGGAACAAAAGTCTTCTTGATTTGGAAGTCCGGTTGAAAAGGAAATTAAAGTTCATCAATGATTTGAAGTTTGATTGGCAAAAGAACTTTGGATAATTGAAAACTTGGTTTTGGAATGTTGGACAGCAAACAAGTGCCCAAGCACTAGGTTTGGGGCTCCTAGGTGCCCATAACACAATAAAGCACAAGATTTGACCCGAGACACAACACCCAAGCTCTATGAACGTAGCGCTCGCGCTCGTCTGGCAAGAATCCGTTTTTGATTCTGCTTCTATTTCTTGAGTTATAGTCTAAAACACTTGCAATGAGTTCATATATATACTTCGCGCAGTTTAGCCATGAGATAACATAACAAAATATTGTATAGCATTGAGAAAAATAGGATCTAGTTTATAGGAAAAGAGAGACTCACATATTTCGATATAGGTTGAGAGTCTTACGAGATCATTTTGTGCTTCTTTGCTGTTGATAATAAAGAATTCTCTGTCTCTGCCCATGGATTTTCTGGATTTGAGTTTCCACGTAATTTTGTCTTCTTGTGTGATTCTTTCCATCTTATCAAATGTTCTTGGTTTTAATATTCATAACAAGTGATATAAGTTGTATCACCGAGTTATTGCAAATTAGCTTGTTTTATAACATAAAACACTAGAAAATAATTCAGATAGTAATTTTGTAATAAAATGTTTATATACTAATTTAAGTAATATTAGGTAAAAGTACTTCATGTGATTGTCGAACTTAAGAAAAAATCATAATAAACTTACAGGTTATTTTTAGATATAATCGAAGCAGAGGAAAATTTGTGGGCTTTCCCACTATCATTTCAAAAGCAACGAAGTTTGCCCATAATGTTCTAAAGTATGATTAACCTTTGATTGCTATATATACCCGAAGTTGATCATAATTTTAGAGACAGTTCTTTAGGGTTAAGGATCCACAAGAGTCGATCCTTAGTAGATTCCATCCCCAACCTTTTTCTATATATAATTAAAAGGTTGTGATTGCACCCCACAAAAATTGTTCGATGATGCTTTGGACTGGAAACTTTTCTTTCCTTATTATAATCAATCTCTTCATGGAAATCCAATAGGACATGGACTTTGATCTAAATCAGATCGTTCAAGTTTCAAGCGCCAGAAGTAGGAATGCTACAGCCTATCTACTACTGCAGAAGCTTTCTTGTTGGGTTAAGCTACTGGGTTAGCCAACATGGGGCACCTTTTAGGACACATGCGNCATGGGGCACCGTTTAGGACACTTGCTAACAATCCAACTACTACCTCTACTCGATTTTCGAATGCTATATTCATCCACAAAACAAGGTGATAAAGCTGGGAGGCTTATATAAATATGTCCTACGTACTTAGAAAAGCCAATTTGAGAGCAAATCATACTTCCTACATATTTCCTACCTTTTTGCTTGGGATTATTGAAGAAGAAGACATTCAAGAAGGATTCAAGAACTACTTAACGAATTCAAGATGCAAGAACTTTTCCGTCTTTCTTTCCAATTCCTAATTTTTGGGTGATGTTGTACACATTTAATTAATGTTCTCGTAGTTATATGATACTTGACTAGTTGTTTAGATGCTAGGATAACAACGAAATGTTAAGATAATTTGTTTTATATTAATTATATAATTTTGACGTTAAGATAATTGTTTGATTTGAATGTTTGTTATGCTTTTAGATGCTTCAATTAATTGATCACTTGTTGAATTGATTTGTGATTCCTATTGACATTTGGGATAAGAAATATGGAAAATAGCATGTGATAGCATTCATTGTGAAGTTCAATAGACGTTATGAATAATTGTCTATGCATTATATGATCCACATAGATCTTATTATGTTTTTAATACATCTTTAATATAATCAACATCCACCTATCAATTGTGCTTTTACATTGCATTAGAGTTAGCTTAATTGAAAACTAGATTAAATCCTAATTTCTCGTGGGATTAATACTTGGATTCACGTTCACTTTATTACTTGTCAGGATCCGTATATATACTGGATATAAAATCGACGACACACAACAAAGTTAAAAAGTTACAACTCGAATCTTTTGCAGAAAGTAAAAACATATTCACTTCATCCTTTCTCAATGATCTTAAAAGTTACTGAGTAGCAGGCTTATAATAGTCAATTCCACTGAGTTCATGTATGCACTATTAACGAGTTACAGGTTACAAGGGGGATAGAAAGCATATTAACTAGATCTTGCATTATCGATTGCGAGTAGTAAATCATCGAATTTGGCTCCCGTAACTTCTTTAACTATCTTGCTGTCCTTCAATATCTTGAAGGTTGGAACCACCTTAATTCCCAACTCCTTTGCCAGTGGCTGTCAAGAAATCATCAGATCAAACCACCGTGTGCCTGTGCATGAGAGAGAGAGAGAGAATTTTGCGCACCTTGTTATCTTGGTTGCAGTCCAACTTTAGGAAGACAACATCAAGATATTTCTTAGACAATTCTTGATATTTTGGAGCAATCACCTTACACGGACCACACCTGCAAGTAAAAAATTCAAACAAAAAAATTGATCTAAGCTAAAATGTTATTTGCAAAGGAATGCAAAATAACTCGGATCTTGTAGAATCCTAATTTGCACCAAAATGTTACAACTTACAACTATCCAACAGCCCTTTATATTTCAACTTCTTGATCTACCACCAAGCACACGTAAATTAGGATTCCTCAAAGATTTATTTATTGAAGACTAAATTTAATTCAATAATTATGTGTCTCTCTAATAGCTTAAACTCTTATACTTTCAGATGAACTAGTTCAACATGGCATTAGAGCAGGCTCGTACCTTACTTCAAGTCTCCCACCATCCATTATAACATTGTGCACATATAAAGCAGTGGATAAAAAATGAATCTAGACTACACGTGAAAGGTTGTGAGAAGACGAAATTTAATGAAATAAATATTAATAGCTTAATCTTTTAGATGGGACGGTTAAACATTGCCCATTTGGCCTGCTATGATTTACATAAAACTTCTACTAGCCTAGGCATTAAACTGGAATGAGCAAGAATTCTACACACAAAAGTGTCTAGAAAGATGAGAACAAGTACCAATAGAGTGCACATAATTATGCACTAGATAGAAACTCCATGTCACAGTGAGCATGGCTGATAATCTCACACTGGAAATTTTATAGAACTACGTGTCTTGATAATCTCAAATAAAAGTATTTGCAAGTAATGATATTTTCTCCTCTAGTTTACACAGGAATAGGTAAGTATTCAAAATCCATGATTCACAAATGATAAAGAAGTTAGTTAACAACAATTAATTATAAATTTCAAATCCGTCATAAAGAACTGAACAATTTGTTGATAATATTAAAGTGATGAAGTGATTTCTTTATTGTAATAAATAAAATATAATCTTACCACAAACTTTACCAATAATTGAAATAAAATTATAAACCGGAAATAGGATACCAATTTTGAACAAACACATTTAGGCTCTGTTTGATAGGGCAAGTTTTCCATGGAAGATGGAAAACTTTTTTGCCATTTTCCACTTTTTAGAGNTTTTGCAATGAAAACAAATTATATTCCCAGTTGTAACAAATTATATCCCTTTAATGGACAATTTTTATGAAAAATAAAGTCAAACGAATATCAGAAGATCCAAAATTTCAATATTTTGATGATGGAAAATTATACCAATCAAACACAACAATTCTTAAAACAAGTTCTAGGCGCTTCAATTCCATAGAATTCATTTTCTTTCCACCAAATTTCATTCTTGTAATCAAACGGACCCTTAAAGAATGGAATGCAAGAGTTAAACTCTTTGTCCTTAATACGAATTTACCCCACACAAGTGCCAACCGTGGATTGGCAATCGTCTCTCAAGATACAACAATCAACTTCTTATGATGGCAGCACTTCAAATCACAAGAAACAGCAAACCTAACAATGTTTTTAATCTTTTTTTTGTATGAAAATGGAAAATAATTTTGATGCAGAATTTTCCAAAGAATTTGAATGAATGAAACCATCATGCAAGGGTCCAATCTATAGAGGTTAAAAGAGTTACACACTAAGATACAACCCAAAATTCAACATGTTCTCTGAAGACTGTAATGGTTCACTGGCCATCACTAAGCGTGAGGCGCCGCTCTAGCGGTGGTGTGATATTTTGAATTTCCCCTTCTTTTTTTTTAATTCAAAACTCATGTTTTTCAATCTTCCTTCATTCACTAATTTCTCGTTTATCCAAAAGTAGTTTTCCACTTCCAAATATATTAAACTCATCTACTGAGTAAAACATGTTCGATCCATTTTTCACAAAATTGGAGTAGCGGACCATCTTTTTCTAACTATTTTCCAACACAATTGGCCTAGATGCCCTTGTGATTGTCCGCATTAACTAGAAATGCATATAGCAATTAAACCAGTAAAACAAGTTTACAACAAGATCAATTGGAAAGTATTCAAAATGTCAAAAAAAAAAAATCAATTGAAAGGGAAAGGGAAAGGGAAATGATATAGTTACCACTGAGTGTACATATCGACGACGACAGTCTTATCACCGGCGGCTTTAACAATGGGCCAAAAGGTGTCCTTATTAACCTCCGTCACCTGACCCACCACCGCAGCAACCTCACCGGCGGCGGCCGCTGCCTCCGTAGTATCCAAACTAGCCTTAACCCTCCACCGCACGGACAACCCTCTCTCTTTTCTCTTCATCGCCTGATTGTAATCACCTGTGACCATAGACTGCTGCATGTACCATGGTGCTTGTGATGAAGAATTTTGCATCGCTGACCCAATTCTGGTCATTGGAGCTGGCCTGTACAATTGGACCTGCAAAGCCATTAATTAATTTATATTTTCTTCACTTTTGAATTTGAGAGAGAGAGCTAAGTACAGTAGACAGAAAATCTTGGAAGGTTGAGAAAGGAGGAGGTTTGAGTAGTGGAATTTAAGGGTTGATGGAATGGACCATCATTGTTTTACTTATGTGAAATGACTTTATTAGCCTCGAGATTTTTAAAATTTATGCAAATATCCTGGGATGTTATCGTAATTTAATTTTTAATTTTTGTGGCTGCCCTGCGTTGGCTAAAATTTTCTGGCAGCAGCTTTGCCCAATGGGAATCTTCGGAACAGAACAAAGGACCTTGCTACTTGTACAAAAGAATTTGTACAAAAATGTTGACAAACACTCACATGTGGGGGGCCCACTTTTTATTTTCAATTTTTTATTCATGTGGGGCCGGCAATCATGTGAGTGTTTGTCAACATTTTTGTCAAATTCTTTTTGTACAAATAGCTTTATTCCAGAACAAAACCCTCCAAAAAAATGGTACAATAATTTTTTCAATTGAAAGATTTTTATTTTTTCTTTATTTATTTTTTTTATTTTGTTGGTTGGGTCCCTCGTTTTGAGTTTGAAAATTATTTTACAAGTTGTTTTGCATTTGATATCTAAATGTGTGGACTCTCTTCTTTTATGGGAGGTTAACCTTGTGCATGGATATCATTCGTTAGAGGTATAACAAAGACTTTTATTACTAAGAAAATTTAATGAATATTCAGGATAGAAGGTTCATTGTATGACGAGTGCAACAGTACAATTAGAATTGCACAAAAAAATTGTCGACCACAATATCTAATTGAATTACTAGTTTGTAACCATTGATGTGATCATGTGAATCCTTCAATATTTCGATTTTGAAGGTTTCTGCCGTGTAAGAGAACGCACGCGATAGCACGCTTTGGTTTACACGTGTTTTGATCTCTATAGACTTTGAACTAAAATTTGGTAACTTATGTGCAGACAGTGGGTTTCGACAAGTTCGGTCCAATTATATGATTCTTTGGGAGTTACTCAAAGTCGGCTAACTTGTTTGAGGATTTTTTGCAGCAGGGATAACTTAAATTTGATTTTTTTTTATGACTTGGATACCAGAACAGATTCTAAACTGTAATATTTTATATAATACAGAATCATCTTTATAATGATATAAAATACAAAGTACTCAAGTGCTAGTTGTGATGAATTTTATAGATAAATGTGTCACTGAAAATTTGGAGCAGGAGCTTCCTTCTTACTCTAATTTAATTTATCGAAGGTCTTCAAGACCTAAGATATGTACGAATTTTGGTATGAACTTACATTTAGGTGTTAGCTAAAATTTGGCACCAGTTTCGGATTGCTCAAATAATGTTATGTTATGAAAAGAGAGAGAAAGAGAAGAGAAAAAAATCAATTAAATTTTCTGTATTATATTGAAAATCAAAACCCCATATTTATAATAAAGAATGACAATAATTTTTAGGGCTATAAGGATACAATTATCATTCACTAATAAATTTACTATTTGCAACACTCTTCTTTGAATGACACATTATAAAATATGTGTCTCGTTAAAACCATGTTTGATAAGAACTCATTAAGACAAAAATATCAAACGAATGAAAAATAAAACAGTTATTTTGAAGTATTAAAAATATATGCTGTCTCATCAAAACCTTATCAGGAAAACTGAAAGGGATAAAATCTAAGCGAAGGAAAAAGAGTACAATTATTCCCCCTGATGTTAATCATTGAAAATTTTTCAGTCGACGCATTCCAATCTCCTAAACCAATTTCTTGAATATAGATGTCGATATTTGCTTTTATGAATATATCAGACACATTGTCACTTGAGCTAATTTGTTAAATATCGATGTCACCATTTTTTCTATAGCACATATGTATGGAAGAATTTTGAAGAAATATGCCTCATTCTGTCACCTTCAATATAGCCTCATTTGAGTTGTGCAATACAAGTTGTATTGTTTTCATATAAAATTATTGGACTATCTTTTGTTGAACTTAATACGTATGATGCTTGGATATAATGGATCATATTTCTCAACCATACGCATTCTCTACCTGCTTTATGTGTTGCAATAATTTTAAAATGATTTGAAGATGTTGCTGTCAAGGTTTGTTTAACAGATTTCTATAATATAGTTGTTCCTTCACATGTATGCACATATCATGTTTGTAATTTATCTTTATGTGGATCAAAGAGATAACTTGCATCTGCATATCTCAGAATAAAATAATTTCAAATCAATAGTACCTTTCAAGTAACGAAAAATATTTTTAACACCATTCAAATATTTTTGAGTTTGTGTATATTGCAAAAAGATTTACAGATAAAGCTATGTGAGGTTGAGTGCCGTTTGCTACGGCATTGCACTAAGATATGGTATTTCAGGATCAAGAACATTCTTCATCTTCAAGTTGATGAAATTAATATTTTTTCACATCAAATGATCGAACAACCATAGGTGATGCCAATGTTGTGCATTATCTATATAAAAATATTTTAAGATTTTTTATGTATATGTAAATTGATGAACAAATAATCATTACGGTAAATGTTCAATCTGCAACCCAAGATAAAATTTAGAGCATGTTTGGTTAAGCTTAAAATCCGATTAAAATTGAAAATATAGTCGTTATTGGGTCTCACTCGTCTAATAAAAGTCAACAATAACGGCTAATTTTTCAATTTTAATCCGATTTTAATCTCTACCGAACACGC